GGGAAGGAAGTATTACCCATCCTGCTTTACAAACAGGGAGAAGTGAGGCTCAGAGAGGAGAAAAAGTTGGTCTGGGTAAGCAGAGGGAGCTAGAACTGGAACCTAGGCTTCCTGGCACTTGTTAGCAGTGGGCATCAGCATTACCAGTTTGTTACCTTGCAAGCAAGAGGTGGGAGGTGGATTTGCATTTCCATGCCCACCTCCTCCCCCACTTATTTTGTAGTGCTGAGAACAAGACCTTGCACTTGCTAGATAAGTGCTCTGAGCTATTATCCCCGCCCTTTTTTTTTTTTTTTTTTAATTTTGAGTCAGGGTCTCACTAAGTGTCCAGGCTGGCCTCTGGCCTCCAACTTATGATCCTCTTGCCTTAGCCTCACAAGTCACTGAAATTATGGGTGTGCACACCACACCCAGTTACCATCACAACCTCTTTCAGTGAGGCATGGCCCTATGACACACTTTCACTAATGAAATATGGCACAATTCTCTTCCTTCAAGGTGACCAAGTGACATCCAGTATGTGTGTCTAAGCAAAGGCCACTTGGATCAAAGCCTCTACTGGCTCAGACAGACATGAAGTGGAAGTGAGAAAAAAATCCTTGTTTAAGCTACTGAGATCCAGTTGTTCATTAGAGCAGCATAGCCTGGCTTTCCAGACTCAGACATCAGGCTCCTAAGTTTTGCTCTGTCTTGTGGGTCTTGCAGCCAGTTGCAAAGGCTGATTCTGTTCATTTTTTTAGCCCCCTGGTGCTGGGGATGGAACCAAGGGTTTCTAACATGACAGGCAAGTGCTCCAGGTCTGAGCCACATCTCCAGCCCTTTTCATTGTTTTATTTTGAGACAAGGTCTTGCTAAGTTGCTGAGGCCAGCCTCAAACTTGTGATCCTCCTGCCTCAGCCTCCTGATTGCTTGGATTACCACACCCAGCTTCTGTTCACTGTTTTTTCAGCACACATTTGTGTTCTCTGGGCCAGGGCCTACTGAGGTTGGGAGCACAGGAATAAATAGGCAGGGCTTTTGTTCTTGAGAAATTCACAGAATAATCCCACACTGATTTCAAGTGCCCTGCTCTCTCTTAAAACACCCTATCCCACTCGTAACTTTGTCATCTACATCTAAACCTGAGTGCCCCTGTTTGGTAGTAGCACCACCAAATCACTAGCTCCTTTTCAAGTCCCACCCCAAACAACGAATGAATCACCAGGTCCTATTGATTTTTCTCAAACTCTCCTAGATGCTGTCCATTTCTCTTTATCCTTATGCATCTTCCCTGTCTGTAACCCATTCCCCATAGCACAGGAACAGAGAGATTCCTCCACTCCCCTGCTCAAACACCTGCCATGGCTCCCCAGTGCTCTTTCTCAATGCCTTAGCCCAGTTTAAAAAGGTCCTGCACAGTCTGGCTCTGTTTGTCTTTTCAGCATCATCCCTTGCCATTTGCTGCCAGGACTGAGCCAGGCTGAACTACTTTCAATTCCTCTAATGTCTGGGCTCTCTTCCCACAGAGGGGAGCCTCTGCACATCCTGTTCTCTCTGCCTGGAATACACATCATCTTCTCCTCCTCCTTCCCCTTCACCAATTCTTTTTTAGCCTCAGTCTCAGCTTTCATTTTCTCCAGAAGGCCTTCACAGACAGGTCCTCCTAGTCTGGAGCAGGAACCCCTATTACACCCTGTTATTCCCCTGACCACACTCACCCCACATGTCACACACTGCTGCTTGGCCTGTCCTTTCCTAGCCCCAGGGTTGAAGACTGGGGTTGCTCTGCTGTGCCCAATGTTGTACACAGGACCTAACATACAGCAGATGCTCAAATAAATATTTTTTGAATGAATGGAGGACACGCAAAAATTACTTCTGGAACATACTTTCTGGCACAAAGGCCAACTTTCAAAAGGAGATATACAGCTGGGTGCCATGGTGCCTGCTTATAACCCAGTGGCTCAGGAGGCTGAGGCAGGAGGATCTCAAGTTCGAGGTTAGCCTCAGCAACTTAGCAAGATCCTAAGCAATTTAGCAAGATCCTGTCTCAAAAATAAAAAATAAAAAAGGATGGGGATGTGCCTCAGTGGTAAAGAGCTCAGTGCTCCTTTTACCAAAAAAAAAAAAAAAAAAAAAGAAAGAAAGAGGAAGGTTTGAGGGGATCTATTCCAGATCCCTCAATGGGGACTTAGCCTGGGCTGCAAAAGCACCATAGTGAAGGACATCATGATTGGAGCAAAAAGGAACATGAGTCAGAGAATCTGGTAAGGGCTGGAGCACTCAGGGATTTTGGGCCACAGAGGAGCTTATTCCAAGGACGATGGGAATCCACAGAAAAGTGATACAGGGCCCCACTGCCAACCGAACATTGCCATCTTTCAACTTGCCAAGAATACCTTGCCCCCAAAGGTTTAATTAAAAAGATCCAGAGCTAGCCAGGCACTGTGGTGCACACCTGTAATCCCAACAACTTGGGAGGCTGAAGCAGTAGGATCAAAAGTTCAAAACCAGCCTCAGCAACTTAGAGAGGCCCTAGGTTACTTAGTGAGACCCTGTCTCAAAAAATAGAAAGTACTGGAGGTGTGGCTCAGTGGTTGAGCACCCTGAGTTCAATCCCCAATACCAAAAGAAAAAATCACAAGGTGGGGGCGTGTAGCTCTGTAACAGAGCACCTGCCTAGTGTGTACAAAGCCCAGATTCAATCTCCAGCAACTCCAAATGGATAAATAAATAAACAAATAAATAAAGGATCCAGCTAGGTATCTATTATCATTAAAGTAGGATAGCCAGCATCCCAACCACAAATCTTGGATTCTGCTGATCACCCCTAACTTTTGCTTATTCTGATTCCTGCTTTTGCCTCCTCCTCCAGAAAACTTTTTTCCTGCTAAACCGACTAAGGTCTTTATTCCCAAAGCACAACCAATCTCAGGCTGTGAATAGAGCAAACTTGGCAGGTGATTTACAGTAAGGGCTCAATGCACAGCTGAAAATTGAAAATTAAATACCCTGCTTTTGCCAGGTGCAGTGGTGTGTGCCTGTAATCCCAGCAGCCCAGGAGGATGAGGCAGGAAGATGGTGAGCTCAAAGCCAGCCTAAGCAACTTAGTGAGACCCTGTCTCAAAATAAAAAGGGCTGGAGGTATAGTTCAGTGGTTGAATGCCCCTGGGTTCAATACCCAGTGCCAAATAAATAAATGCCCTGCTTTTAAACAGTCCTTGTGAACCAGGCCCTGTGGAAGGTGCTTTTTTTTTTTTTTTTTTTGTGCCAGGACTGAACCCAGGAGCACTTAACTTCTGAAAGACATCCCTAGCCCATTTATATTTTTGATTTTGATATAGAGTCTTCCTAAGTTGCTTAGGGCCTCTCTAAATTGCTGAAGCTGGCTTTGAACTTGAGATCCTCTTGCCTCAGCCTCTCTAGCTGCTGGGATTACAGGCGTGCACCACCAAGCCCAGCTGAACCTAGGGTCTCAAGCATGCAAGGCAAGAGCTCTGCCCTTGAGCTATATCTTCAGCCCTCATCTTTTGCTTATGAAAAATGCTGCTATAAACATCTGTATACAGGTATGTGTTTGAGAACCATATTCAATTCTCTTAGGTATATATTTAAGGGTGGAACTGCTGACTCAGGTAGCAATTCTGTGTTTAACACCTTAGGGAGCCACCTGTTTTCCACAGCAGATTCACCATCTTACATTCCTACCAGCAATACACTGAGGTTCCAATTTCTCCCCATCCTCACCAACACCTATTATTTCCTTCCTCCCTCCCTCCCTTCCTTCCTTCCTGCTGGGGATTAAATCCAGGGCCTTGTGCATGTGAGGCAAGCACTCTATCAACTGAGTTATATCCCCAACCCCAACACATATTAATTTCTAATTCTGCCATCCTATGGGTATATCTCTAATGATTAAAACCCATTAAGTCCCAAGGTTTCAATCCTGAGAATATTTCAACAAAATTGACACAAGTGCATTAAAATAGATTGGAAATCAGCCATAAGCTCATATAGTTATATGTTATTAGGCTATAAGTATTATTAATTATATTCCATAATATATACTGTATTTGTTTTTATAATTGTTCCACACCTAGGAACATGGAGTGAAATAGGTTCATAATGTTCAGTCTTTCTACATGCCTATTGGCCATATGTTTATCTTCTTTGGAAAAATGTCTATTCATTCAATGCTATTGCCTGTTTTTTAATATTTTTTAATAGGACGTCTTACCTTTTTTTTTTTTTTTTTTTTAAATGCAGAACTGTACAGCTCTCTTGTCTATGGCCTAGGTTCCAGGACTAGCCTTTCAAAACTGTGATTTCTATTTTGCTACTCAGAGCTGTTTCTCCTATCGGGGATTCTGCAACCAAACTACTGTGCAGAACTGTTTCCCCTCTACATTTGTGCACACCCTCTCATTTCACCTGCCCAACCACCTCAGCTGCGAAAGAAACTTGTTCTTTGGGTCTACAGAAGAGGATTGCGGTGCTGGCCAAGATCAGACAGCTGGAATTCACACCCTGAAAAGTCAAACCCCAAAGCTCCAGGCCTTCCTATCTGGCATTATCTTGCCTCGGGACCAGCCGCGAAGCGCATATTCTTATCTCTTCTCTAAGGAAGGAAAACCAAAGGCCAGAAAAGGGTCGAGGTTTTTTTCTGATCACACAATAAAGACCAGGGTGTAGATCTCAGGACTCCTGCCTTAGTTCCTAAGTCCCCACCTCCTCCCCAGACGCAAGGCCCCGGGCGGGGCGGAGCAGGGTGCGGCTTGGCGTGGCCCTCCCGCCTCGTCGGGTAGCACCTTCTCGCTGAGTCACGACCCTAGTGCAGCGCGGCGCGGGGCAGGGCATGAGACCCGCCCCGCGTGGGAACTGAAGCTCCACCCCTGGCTCCGCTGCAGCCTCCCGATTGGAGAGCCTGAGAACCTGCACAGCCAATCACAGCAAACTGCAAAGCGCGGGTTGGGAGGGGCTAAGGGGGAAGGAGCCGCCCTCAACTCCCCTGGAATCTGCCCACCCCGCCGCGCCCCTTCGGGCTTTTGGGAGCCACTGGGCTTCGGCAATCGAAAGGGCGGGGCTGGCTGGATCCTGGGTCTGTTCCTTGGTGCGACCTCTTCGAGGACAGGAAGAATCGAGAAGGATTCCCAAGAGCTTGGAGGGTATGCAGACTTTTCTAGTCTGTGCAGCCATTTGCAGCTTACAAAAAAGGTTTGACACAACATCCTTGCCCCCCCCCCCCCCGCTCCAAGGCTGTGGTATTTACTCAGATTTTCAGAGGCAGGATTAACGCAGAGAAGCCTGTTAAAATTCTAAAGCTAATTTTCAAAACGACCTGCACTAGAAAGGGAGGTTCCCCCCCTCCCCCGCCCCTGCACAGGCATGCGCACTACAGTTAAAACCCCAGCAAAGGCGAAAGATGTGGAATCACATCGGGGTTTGGGGCCTGTGTGATTTTTCAGAATGGGCCATGCTAGTCAAAACAGAGATTGGTATTCCTACTTGGCAGAGGGAGAAACACATGCTTGGAGAAGGAACCTGCCCAAGGTCACCCACCCTGAGATAGAGGCAGAGTGGGAAGCTAAGTATGCAGGCGCTTCCATGCACCTCTTCTCATCGTGGTCTGTCTGCCCGTATTTTTATTTCTTCAGGCTCAGAGCTCTCCATCACCATCAGAAAGAAGAGGAAGCTGCAGGCCCTTGTTGCCTGACTCTTGAGTCCAGCTCTCTCAAGATTGCTGTCACAGCCCACAGCTGTGCAGAGCTTTGCAGTCTGTAGCTTGCAGGGGACTTTGTATGTAATATCTCCATTGATTCACCTGGCCACAGTGGGAAGTGAAAATTATTGTTCCCCCATTTCCAGGTGAGAAAGCCTCAAAACTATGATACATCCATTGAGTTACAATGAGATTCAAAGACACACAACTAATATGTATCTGCTGGACCTTGCTATTGTGCTGGGTTCTGTTAGATGCAAAGATAAATAGGTTTTAGGTTCTTAGGAATGTAATGCATATATTTTTTCAGCCCTTTATAAAAGATTCCAGGGTGTGGGGATTCAGAGAAATGTTGTGGGCCTCAGAGGCAGAAGTAAAGGGCATTTCTAGAAGTTCTGGGGAAGCTTCTGGAGGAGGGAATATTTAAATTGGGGTTGAGTCAGCCCAGGGGCACCCATCTGTAATCTCCTTAGCTCAAGAGGTTGAGACAGGAGGATTGTGAGTTCAAAGCCAGCCTCAGCAGTGGTGAGGTGCTAAGCAACTCAGCGAGACCCTGTCTCTAAATAAAATTCAACATAGGGCTGGGGATGGTGCTCAGCGGTAGAGTGCCGCTGAATTCAATCCCGGTACCTCCCCCCAAAAAATTTAGATTGGGGTTGAAGGCCATAGATTTGAACAGGTGGGGATGGAGAGATGCCCCCCTGCCCCATGTCCTTTCCCAGTATTCTGGGCTTGCCCTTTTATCACAACTCACCTACTAGACTTTATGCACCTAATAGTCATTTAGCATTTTTTATTCAGTGCTAGGGACTGAGTTCAGGGTCTTGCACATGCTAGGCACTTTTCCACTGAGCTCCATCACCAGCCCAACACTCAACATTTGAATAAATGAGTAGAAAAATGAGTGTCTCAGAGGCAGGATGGGGCCATGTTATGGGTGACCTTGGTGATCAAGAGTCTCTCTTCCAGCTAAGTTGTGGAGGGCCACAATGTGGGTAGATGCCTTGTATGATTAGGATGTAGCCATGAGACATATTTTTCTCTTGTTGCAATGGTCTTGGCATTCTTTTTATTTATTTATTTTATTTTTGTTTTCGGCGGATACAACATCTTTGTTTGTATGTGGTGCTGAGGATCGAACCCGGGCTGCACACATGCCAGGCGAGCGCGCTACCTCTTGAGCCACATCCCCAGCCCGCAATGGTCTTGGCATTCTGCATTGAGTGCTTAGTCCTGGACTTTGGGGGAAGGGGATGATGCATAGGAGCCCTTAATTGGTGAGTTTTTTTTTTGTTGTTGTTGTTGTTTTTTAATTTTAGTACTGAAGTTTGAACCCAAGGGCGTTTTACCACTAAACTACATCCCCAGCCCTTTTAACATTTTTTTTTTTTTTGAGACAGATTCTCACTCAGTTGTTTTGGATCTCACTAAATCACTAATTTGAGGCTGGCCTCCAATTTACAATTCTCCTGTCTTAGCTTCCTGGGTTGCTGAGATTACCACTGCACCTAGCCAATTGGTGGGATCTTTAGAAATTGTGCAGCCTGGGAGCTAGAATCACAATCCTTTGACCAAACTGCTTGGCTAGATTTTTTTTTTTCTTCTTGCAGTGTTGCTGATTGAACCCAGGGCTTCCCCATGTCATGCAAGGCACTCTGCCACAGAGCTACATCCTTAGTCCCTTGGCTAGATTTTTGAAATATTCTCAAAGGGTACTGGGTACAAGAGACATTTGTTACCTCCAAGTTCTTATTAGGCTTAAAGGACACCTTTATGCTCTGGTCTTACTCAGGTCCATGCCTCTGTGGGCAGGTGAAGACAGGTAGAATCCCTGAGGATAGCTGTGGTGGTTTCCATTTTGTAGGTGAGAGCCAAGACCTGCAAGAAGCTCAGTGGAAGCCAGGTGTGGTGGGAACGCCTGTAATCCTAGCAGCTAGGGAGGCTGAGGCAAGAGTCTCCAAGTTGGAGGCCAGCCTCAGCAATTTAGCAAGGCCCAAGCAACTTAGTGAGACCTTGTCTCAAAATAAAATATAAAAAGGGCTGGGGATGTGGACTTGTGGTAAAACTCCTCTGGGTTCCGTCACCTATACCTAAATAAATAAAGAAGAAAGAAAAAGAAACAGGTGAGTGGGTGCCAAACCTCACCCTAGGGAGACGCAGAACTGGGGTCCATGCCTCCATAGCAGCCCCTTTCTTGGCCTCATACTGCCCTCTAGGAAGCCCTCAAGGGCAACCTTAGCCTGTCTGGGGAAACAGAGTCCCTGAGCTGCATTTTCCATGGCGGGTTGTTCAGAGGGGAGAGACGGCCAGCCCCATTACTGGCCTGATGGCCTCTGCCTTTCCAAAGCAGCCATCCATCCTGCCTGGTTGGGTCCAGCCCAGCAGCTTCCGGGACAACTCTTGGGCATCCGGCCAGCCTGCTCAGCACCTTCTCTCCCTGTCTCTGTCTCGAGCAATCTGTCTTCCTGTCTGTCCCTCTGTCAGATCTCTCTCTCTCTCTGTCTCCACCACTGTGTGCCTGTTTCTCCTTCCTAATCTTTCTTCTGTACCAACAATAACCTTTGGGCCTCCAGTCCCTCAGGAGTCCTGTTACCCCTGCTCTGACTGGTGCCTCTTTTTTTTTTTTTTCTTTTTCTTTTTTGTACCAAGGATTAAACCCAGGGGCACTTAACCCCTGAGCCACATCCCCAGCCCTTTTTATTTTTTATTTAGAGACAGGGTCTCACTGAGTTGCTTAGGGCCTTGCTAAATGGATGAGGCTGGCTTTGAACTCAGGATCCTCCTTTGAACTCATGATCCTTCAGCCTCCCCAGCCTAGTGCCTCTTCTCAACTGGCAGCGTGAGCCAGTGGGAAGATTATAAAGGAGGGGAATACCACAGTGGAACTCTAGTCTGGTCAAGTCCTTGGCTTCCTCCTCTCTCGGCTTTCTCGTCCTTCCTGAGGCAACCAACCCCAGAGGCCCAAATTGTCTCCAGAGGAGGAAGGTGTTGCTCAGAGGTCCGAGTTAAAGAGCAGGACATGTGGTGGCAGGGCCTTTATCAACGGAAGACTTGAGGGGTGGACAGGTCCAGGCCACATGCTTCCCTACCAGCCCTGCTGGTCCTGGCAGACGCCCGTCCTCAGGCTCAGATCTGCAGCTCTGTGATCTGTCCCTTTTCCCAGAGCCCAGTCCTGGGGGCCCTGAATTGCAGCTTTCCTATTTCCCCAGGGCCTGCTTCGCCCTGGGGGACTCCACCTCCAACCACAGGGCCCAGCACCTTCCTCCAGAGCCTCTCAGGGTGAACCTCCTTAAACTTGAGCCTCAGCCCCTGTGTCACCGCCCCCAACTTTCCAAGGCTTCTGTTCATCTTGGAGGACCTCCCAGAAGGGACACTCCTGACCCTCTGGCACCCCCTGCTCTACTGTCCTCTGCCTGTTCTTGACTGACTCCAAGGCCCCCAATCCATAGCCACCTCCTCCTTCCCAACCTGGACTGGTGCTTGGCCAGTTACTCCTTTGATCTGTTGGGCTCCTTGTCCCCTGTCCCAGCTGACCCCTGGCCTGCTGCAGGTGGTCTGACCTCAAACTTCTCAGCTCCCAGCCCATACTGCATAGAGCTACTGGAGAAAACCTCAGGGCTGGGCAGAGGGGCTGCTCAGCACAGGCCTCCAAGCCCAGCTGGTCCCTGAATGGTCAGTCCTTCCACAGCTTGCTCCCCCACCCTCTCCGGAGGCTCCCGCAAACTGGCAGCCTGTTCTCCAGCCTCCCTCCTCCTCCTGTGACTCAGCAGGTCACTTCAGCTTCTACTACAGTGACACAGGTTCCCAGGAACCTTCCTATCCACTCCCAAGACCCTCCCACTCACCTTCCATCTCAGAGGGCCATCCTCCAGTGCTTCTGGCCTCCCCCACCTCAAAAGATACTCCCATCCCCTCTACCCCCAGCCCCTAACCCTCTGGCCTTGGTCTCTCTAGGCTCCAGTATTTAAGCCATCCCAGGCCTCTTCTAGGGTAATGAAACCACCAGCAATAACATCTCCCTTCTTCATCTGACCCGTGAAGCACCTTGGAAAACAAGTCATCTCCGAATCTTAACCCTTCATCTCTCTATCCCTGCCATTCTAATCTAAGATAATTGGGCCCCATCAAAAAGGCACTTGCCAGCTGGGTGTGGTGGTATATGCCTTATAATCCCAGTGACTCAGGAGGCTGAAGAAGGAGGATTGCAAGTCTGAGGCCAGCATCAGCAACTTAACAAGGCCCTGAGCAACTTAGAGACCCTGTTTTTAAATAAAGTATAAAAAAGGGGTTGGGGATATATGTAGGTCAGTGATAAAGTGCCCCTGGGTTCAATCCCCTGTACCCTCCCCCAAAATGGCACTTGCCAAGGTCAACAGAGGTGCCCTAAGTCATGAAAAGGCCTTCTCTTCTGTCCTTACAGACTTTTCTGGAGCCATTTGTGTGGTCCCTGGGACACATGGACCCCTGGTCCTCCCATCGTATCCTCCAGGTCTCCTTGTGAGTTTACCTTCCTTGGCCTGTCCCCATTACTCATCCCTTTCTCTTTCAGTCTTCCTGGGCCCCAGGCTTCACCTCCTACGGAGAACTCCAATTTCTTTTCCCAGCTCCAGCCTGGGCATCCCACTCGGGTACCTGTTCACACCCAGCAGTTTCCACTTGTCTTTCCCTAAACCTGGCCTAGTAAAGCAGATGGGACCCTCCCCATGCACCTGTTTTCAGAGAAGTCTCCTTCCTGTCCCAGCTGCCATGTCTTCCAAACCCAACCCCCAACCAGGCTCCCCTAGGAGGAGCTAGCAAAGATCCTCCATTAAGGAATTTCTTCCTCTGGTCTCATCCCTGTCCCGTCCACCCTCTATCCTGCTGCCAAGTGACTGTTCTAAAATGCAAAGCTAATGGGGCTGGGGATGTGGCTCAAGTGGTAGCGCGCTCGCCTGGCATGCGTGTGGCCCGGGTTCGATCCTCAGCACCACATACAAACAAAGATGTTGTGTCCGCCGAGAACTAAAAAATAAATATTAAAAAATTCTCTCTCTCTCTCTCTCTTAAAAAATAAAATAAAATAAAATAAAATGCAAAGCTGAAAATCCCTTGTGGCTGAAGCATGGGAAGGACCATCAGCGTCTAGTTCATCCTCAGGCTCCCAGCCTTGGTCTCTGAGGACCTCTTTATTTCTCCTACTCTGCTCCACCCCCAGAACCCAGGAAATTCCCTCGATGTCACTGGTAGCTAGGAAATCCCCTGGATCCCACTGAGCACTTCTTATCTCAAGTTCGGAGGACTTAGGCAAGGGCAGGAAAAGGCAAAGATTTTATCATTAACCCAAGTGGCTTGTCTTGAGCTTCTGGATCATTGAATCCTTCAGGATCTGAGAGAAGTCATTTGGTTAAGGTTATTCAGGAAGAAGTCCTTGGTGCAGCCAGGTCTCCAGTTCCATTGGCTGTTCAGGCTCCTGCATCCAATATGGAGGCTGTGGCCTTGGCAGTACCCTGGTAACCACTTTCCTTCCAACCTCCCCAGTAGGCCTGTGGCTCTGGGTCTCCATCGTGCTGTGAGTGAGCTGGCCCCTGGACTTCTCACTCAGACCCTCCCAGCCCTACCTTTCTCTGCCTCCTCTCAGAGCTAGAGGGGGAGACCAACCCCAGCTGTGTGCAGAGACCCAGGCTTGCCTCTGTTGCTTCTGAAAAGAGGCCAACAGAGACTTCTGGATGGTAGGATAAGGATCAAGAGACAGGAGAATCTGGTTTATGACCCCAGGCTCCAGCTGTGGGACCCCAGTAGATTACATAACCTCGCTGTGCCTTGGACTCCTCCTCCTGGAGTGCCTGCCTGTGGTTTGATTGGAAATTCACATTCACCAAATTCATATGTGATGGTACTTGGTGGTACAACCTTTGGAGGTAATTAGGATTCCCTGAGGTCATGAGGATGAGCCCATGATGGCCTTAGGGGATTTATAATTAGAGGAAGAGAGAACTGAGCCAATACATGCATGCACCATCCTGCTACTTAATGCCCTTGGCCATGGTTTGATGCAACAAGAAGGCCCTCACCAAATGCCAAGCAGATGCTGGTGTCATGTTTCATATTCTTGGACTTCTCAGCTTTCGGAACTTCAGCCGAATAAACTTCTATTCTTTATAAATTGTTTGGTCTCAGATATTTTGTTATAGTAACAGCAAATAGTCTATTTTCCTACTGAGTACTGGGACCAGGGGGCAAATGTTGTTTCTTCTCACTTCTTGGCCTTTCCTCACCATCTGAGTGATAGAGACTGACGTGAAGACTTGGGGGAAGAGGACAGAGCATTGATTATAAACCCCAAATTAGCCTTTTTGTGTAAATATTCAACCTAGCCTACATTGGATGTGGCTGCCCTGGGGCCAGAGGCCAAACTTTCACTTACTTAAAGAGCTCCGAGGTCTTGCATGATGCTCTGGACACAAAAGCTTAGTACCTCCGGTCTTTGCCATCTTTTCTCTCTGTCTCTGTCTCTCTTTGGCACTAGAAATTGAATCCAGAGTTGCTCCATCACTGAGCTACATCCCCAGACCTCTTGCCTATTTATTTATGATACCAAGGATTGAACCCAGGGGGCCTTAAACACTGAGCCACATCCTGAGCCCTTTTTAAAAATATTTTATTTAGAGACAGGGTCTCACTGAGTTATTTAGGGCCTCACTAAATTGCTGAGGCTGGCTTTGAACTCATGATCCTCCTGCCTCAGCCTTCCAGGTAGCTGGAATTACAGGTGTGTGTACCATGCACCAGGCTTATCTATTTATTTTGAGAAAGGGTCTCATTAACTTACCATGCTGGCCTCAGATCCTCCTGCCTTAACCTCCTGAGTACCTGGGGATTATGTGTATGCCACCATACTTGGCCCTTCCTTTTTAAACCATCTATCCTTTCTTATCATGAATATATTATGGATGGAAAAAGCACATGGTTAAAACCTACTCTTTGCTTCTAGGGACTGTCTAATGGGGAGATGAAAGAACTTCACACAGGGCTGGGGGCGTAGCTCAGTGATAGAGCGCTTGTCTAGCATGCCCTGGGTTCCATTCCCAGCACTACCACAAAAGAAGGAATTTATACATTCTGGCATCACTGGGGAGAAGAAGGGTTATCTTTTTTTTTTTTTTTTTTTTTGCCGTGCTGGGTTTGAACTCAGAGATGCTACACCACTGAGTTACACCCCGAGCCTTTTTTATTTTGAGACAGGGTCTTGCTAAGTAGCTTGGGCTGACCTCAAGCTTGAGATCCTCCTGCTTCAACCTCCCAAGAAGCTGGGATTACAGGTGTGCACCACATTCTTTTCTTATAACACCAAAGATAGAATGAAGACTTATGAGCAGAAGGGTCTGGAAATAGGAGGGCTATCCAACAGTAAAGGGGGCTTCGGGAAATGGCCAATTGCCTATGGCTGGGGGTATGCCAGCCAGCGGTGACCTTGAGGGGATGGGATGCTGCATCTGGTACACCCACCCTGGATGAACAAGAGTCCCTCTGCTGTCCCTACCAGTCTACCATCCGGACAGGGAAGGAACCTGGCTTGCTCAGAAACCTAGAAGACAAGGCAGGCCCCATGCCCCTGAGTCATCAAGAATCTCTGAAGGCTTGGGATGGAGAGGTTGCTTTTTGTCCCTGGCTGTCCTTAGGCCCAAAGCAAGGAGTTGGCACTGGATGTCTGTACATCCCTCCTGCCCCTAGTGCAGCCTGGGTTCCTGTCTGCCTGCTGTGTCAGCACTGGTGTTCATATTACATGACCAAGTGGGATTTATACTCTCGAAGCATTAGTGCTGGGCTGACTTGGCAGAATGGCCAATGCCAGAAAGTTCCAGGTCCCGAGCCCCTCCCAGCAGCTTCCTCAAGGCTCCAAGGCCCTTTAAATTCCTTTTCAGGCAATCCAGCCTGGCCTCCTTCAGAGTTGCCTTTGGAAGCAGACTCAGGCAGACCACTGGTGGTACAGAAAAAAATCCCCCTGCGAGTTTTGAAGACATACAGCTTCTCAGATCCCAGGATTGGAGATTGTTTTTGCGGGGTCAGTGGGGGGTACCAGGGATTGAAATCAGGGGCACTCAACCACTGAGCCACATCCTCAGTCCTATTTTGTATTTTATTTAGAGACAGGGTCTCAATGAGTTGCTTAGTGCCTCGCTTTTGCTGAGACTGTCTTTGAACTTGTGATCCTCCTACCTCAGCCTCCGGAGTCACTGGGATTACAGGTGTGTACCATCACCCCCAGCCAGGGCGTGCGTTTGGTACTGAGGATTGAACCCAGAGGTGCCTTACCACTGAGTTACATCCCCAGTCCTTTTTTATTTTCAATTTTGAGACAGAGTCTTGCTAAGTTGCTGAGAGTCTCCATAAATTGCCAAGGCTGGCCTTGAACTTGTGATTCTCCTGTCTCGGCCTCCTCGATAGCTAGGATTATAGGTGTGCACCTCCATGTCTGGCATAATTGGAGATTTTGACCTGGTGCATCTAGGTTGGGTCTGGGACTTTAGTCTCCCCACAAGTATTGAGGGGGCTGTACTGCCCACCCAGGTGGAGGATCACTGCTCAGCATCACCCATGAACAGCTGGTCTTCTGACCCTGCTTATTCATGGGTCCCTGTGACATCCCTGGACAGCACCAGCTGATGGAAAAAAATTTGCTTCCAGAAATTGGGATGAAATTGGTGAACTCTATGCAGCTTAGAGTCCTCTAAATACATAAAACACTGGGCTTGCTCCATGGGATCTGCAGGCTGCCACCATCCCAGCATTGTGACTGTTCCCTGAGTGCCCTGTCCTCAACTCCAACTGCCCTTGGAATTTCAAGTATCAAAACATTCACTTTAGACCCCTCTACCAAGAATCCTGCCATCCTATTCCCAGCTCAGTTCAGAGGGCAGGGTGCAGACTGCTCTTTACTGTCTCTGTGGGGAACCAGATGTTGAGATAGTTAAGCCCATACTTGGTCCAAGTTCATGCCGCCAGGTTTGGGGAGAAGATCCTTGTCCAGACTCCTCTGCCTCTTGAGAATGGGAGATTTGTCCCCAGGTAGTAGCTGGGATTATAGGCATGTGCCTCTACATCTTGCCTGCAAGGGGTTTAGAAGCATGCATCCAATTCCTTTATTTTATGGATGCTTAATTTGAGAACCAGAGAGGTAAAGTGACTTTCCCAAGGTCACCTAGCAAGCTCAATGGTAAAATTAGGGCCTCTACCTTTGGGCCCTGCCTCCCAGTGCAGGATTCCTCCACTGGCCCAGGATTCACAGCAGGAGAGACAGTCCCTAAGATTCTCCTGTAGTTCTTTGCTTCCAAAGCCATGGTGTTCTCTGCCCTACTGCAGGCCAACTTGGTAGGGCAGTGGCAGGGAAGTGTTCCCAGGGGACAGGGTGGGGAGCATTGCAGGTTGGCTTGGGAAGATGCTACTGCTGTCCCATCTGCACTAATCAGCGAGCTCTTCAGCCGCAGGAGGAAGCCAGCAGCCAGGGGATGGGGCTGTGGTGATTTATGACCACACAGAAACAGAAGGACACTAATGTCCCCGGCTGGCCTGCTTATCTGCCAGCTCAGCCAGAGAGGATGCATTTAAAAGGTCATGTCCTCTAGCACCAGAGAAGGGGCTGGAGGGTGTTCTTGGGCAGTTCAGTCCCTTGCGGTCAAGGGTCCTCCTTTCCTGAGCAGAGGCCAGGGAGGTTCAGCCTTGCAGATGGGAGAGGCCAGGGCACCTTTGCTACAGGGAGTCCTTAACATCTGCCCAGTTTTGAATTCCTCAGTGGCACACAGCCTCCCTGTGCCTCAGCTTTCTTGTCTGAAAAACAGAGATGAATCTGAGCCTCTTGATCCTTGGGCCTCAACCTTCTCCCAGGTCTGCAGGCATAGACACCTCTGCTCTATTTCCACAGCTGAAGAATGTCGATATTTTCCATTTCAGAAGAACATGTTGAATCTAGAACCCTGACTCATCATAGTTGGGTGGGGCACTGAGTGCTCCTTTAGTTTAATGTCTCATTTTAAAAGTGGGGGAAATTGAGATCCCTAGGGAGGACAGGCCTTGCACCCAGGGCTGGGGGCCAGGCAGATGCCTAAACACTAATTCTCCAATCCCCTTCTCCAGATTCTTTGCAGTGCTATAACGCAGCAGAGGAGGAAGCCAGGCTTTTAAGCCCTTTGCTCTGTTTCACTTCATCTTGGCTCAGGAGTAGCCTTCTGAACACTTGGGTTGCTGGGCAGCTGTGGCTTTAAACCTAGGGCCTTCAAAAGTCAAAAGGAAAGGAAGGCGGGGCCAGTTCTTCTGCACCATTGGAGGAAAGTCTCAATATGGAGACTGCAGATATTCCTGTTTGGCTCTGAAAAATTTTTTCTTTGCATCTGTTTTACTTTTCCCATACACATTTGGCTTGAACGTTTTCCTCCCCTTTCTTCTTCTTTTTTTTTTTTCCCCCAAGTACAGCAGGCTAGCGGGTGGGGGTGGGGGTATGGAGTTGGGGAGGGGGTAGGGAGAGGAACTGAGGTGGAGAGGTCAAAGGCCTCTGACAAGTGGCCTGAAATGTGTCAGGAAGTGCTCAACGTTTAGCATCTGGGGCCTGAATCATTGGCATGTTCAATCCAGAAGTGGACAATCAGGGTTGGTTGGAAAGGCTTGTTCCCCTGGACCTGTGATGCCCCAGGCCAGAAGGTTTTAGGTCTGGCCTGCAGGGAGGAAGAGACAGGAAGAGGAATGACTTGGTGGAGGCTTCCTCAAGAGACAGAAGGAAGTGGGAGGGTTTATTCACCAGCAGGATTGCATTTTGCTGGGTGGTGTGGTAAGAGAAGAGAGGCCAGGCCAGATCCTATGCTGGAGGAGGGGGAGAACAGAGCTATTTCTAGCGTTCCTCCCCACTCCCCACTCCTCCATCTCCTACACCCTTCCCAGAGCAGCCTGTCCAAAGTGCCTTCATTCATTCATTTCTTTATTTCCTGGGTTCTGTGTTCTTACTATAGAACAGGTACCATGCTAAGCACTGAGCAGTCAATGGTGATGAAGGTGACAAAACCTTAATGTGATCATTTTCTGTCATTGTTAAAAATGTTTCACAGGCTTCCTGTTTATTTTAGAATAAAAACTTAGTTCCTGGGCTAGAGATGCCACTCAGTGTTAGAGCACTTATCTTGTACAAGGAAGGCCCTGGATTTGATCCCCAGCACTGCAAAAAATACAAGCCCCTCTATTATTTAGCCTGCCATTCAATGCCCCTGGTGTCCTGTCCCTGACTCCTCCCCTACTTTCATTACCCATCACTTGGGAGCCTCTCAATAAACTTGTGCAGGATGACCTTGCCTTTGAGTCTCTGCCTGTTGTACTCTCAAATCCAATAATTCTTCAATGGTTGGATAGGATATGTTACCAAGTTCCCTGGAGTAGCTTTTCAGAACCTCTTTCTATTCAACCTGAAAGAAAAAACAATTTTTTCTTTTTTGTACTGGGGTTTGAAACCAGGGGCACTTAACCACGGAGCCACATTCCCAACTCCCTTTATTTATTTTATTTTTAATTTTGAGACAGAGTCTGGCTAAGTTGCTTAGGGCCTCTGTCAATTGCTGAAGCTGGCTTAGAACTTGTGATCCTCCTGCCTCAGCCTCCCAAACTGCTAGGATTATAGGGCAGTGTCACCTGCCCAGTTTACTTATTGCTCTTATTTTTGGTTACCAGGGATTGAACCTCAGTGTGCTTAACTTAACCACTGAACCAGATTCCCAACCCCTCTTTTGTTTTTCTTTGAGACAGGGACTCATTAAATTGCTGAGGTTGGTCTCAAACTTGCAATCCTCCTGCTTCAGCCTCCAGAGTCTCTAGACATATTCTACATCTATTTATGTTTATTTATTTTTGTGGTGCTGAGGATTGAACCCAGGATCTCATGCAAGCTAAGCACAAGCTCTACCACTGAAGTGCATCCTATGTCCCCTTATTTATGTGTTTTTAGTTCTGGGGGCCTGGGATTGAATTTTGGGACGCCTTACCACTGAGCTACAGAGGTCACCACGCCTGGCCCACATATTTATTCTTATCTTGCCTATTTTTGGGGGGTAGGAAGTTTTGCCTGTTTTGTTCTATTCCATTGCTTAGAACAGTTCTTGGAACATAGTGGGTGCTCAACAGATAATTGAATGGATGAAGTAGATAAAACAAACTGTCAAAACTACTGGATGTGTGAGCTACATGGAATGTCAAAGACAGAAGCACATGAACAAAACTACATCAGCCTGACCTCAGTGTGTATCGCTTGGGTGGGGAGAGATGATGGGAACCCACCCCCAGACACAACCCATGGAGTAGGCAGTTGGTCACTGCACTGACTGCTGAATTTGTCATTGAATTTTTTTTTTTTTTATTTTGTACTGGGGATTGAATTCAGGGACACTTAACCACTGAGCCACATCCCCAGCCATACTTGTGTTTTATTTATTTAGAGACAGGGTCTCACTGAGTTGCTTAGGGGTTCGCTAAGATGCTGAGGTTGGCTTTGAACTCACGATCCTCCTCCGTCAGCCTTCAGAGCGGCTGGGATCACCGGAGTGTCCCACCGCGCCTGGCATGTCATTGAATCTTCGGTGTTCCACCGTGGAGAGGAAGAGGGGGGCCCCCAGGGTCAGCCTGCGACAGCTGCATCCTTTCTGGAAACTAACCAGTATGTCCTGCCGGTATCTGTCCTTCCATGACTTCACCTATTCAAGCCCCCAAACCTCAAGCTGTGGGGAACTGGAATTTTCTGTGTGGAGGGAAGGGATAACAATTCCTCAGGATTTGGACCTTTAATTCGGCCATCCGACCTGCAGGCACCCCTCTGTACGATGGTGGATGGCCAATCTGCAGCTACACTGGACACCTTCCCTCCCTGCCTAGCTCCCATGCCTGGTACTTTAATCTCGGAAACGGTCTAGGGCTGAGGCCCTGGCCCCGTCTCCCCGCGGCTTCAGGAGGAGACGGGGCGGGGCCGTGAATCAGCACTCGCTCGGACTCTGGCAGCCCGCATCCCCGCCAGGGGTCCCCAGTGGCCGCGGGGTTGGAACCCTATCTTCCTCCGCTCGCGCGCTATGGCCGCTGGGAGATGTAGTCTCGACAGCCCCTTTGTCCTTGGTCTCCGCAATCCGTCGGCCAGGGAAAGGAGGAACTACAATGCCCAGTGGCCTGCGCGCCGGAAGCCAGGAAGGGCGGGCGCTGAAGAGGGAGGTGTGAAGGGGGTCCCTGGAACGGCTGGGGCGAAGGAACCGGGGTGAAGTGAAGAAAGGGGAGTGTTGGGGGCCAGCGGAGAAGTGGGGTACACTCAGAAGACGGAGGCTAGCTGCATCCGCTGCGGGGGCAGAAGGCTTAGCCGAAAAAGGCCCGGGCGGGGCCTGGGCGGGGCGCGCGGGCGGAGCCTTTTGCGTCACGCGGCGTGGGCGGGGCTGCAGGGGGTTGTCCGCCCGCGGCACGCACAGCAGCCGCAGCCGCCTCGCGCCTGGTCCCTCGGTCGCAGCTCGTGCCGCCTCCTCCGCGCCGCCGCTGTCTCAGCCGCTCGCTTCGTGGGTCGGTCCCTCCGGCACACGAGTTCCAGCCGCGCCACAGCCGCCCTTCAAGCCCTTCAGGCCGTCCCGGTCTCCTTCCTCCGGCTCGACCCAGCCCGTGAAGATGGTGGACCGCGAGCAACTGGTGCAGAAAGCCCGGCTGGCCGAGCAGGCGGAGCGCTACGACGACATGGCCGCGGCCATGAAGAACGTGAGTGTCTCCTCCCCTCCCCCCGCCTCGCCCCAGCCCTTCCCGAGTCGCGGTCCTCGGCGGGGAAGGCCCCGGGGCTGGTAGCCTGTCGCGGCTGGCCGCCGGTCGCGCCCGCAGGGTGGCTGCCCCTTCTCGCTCCACAAGGGCGCTGGGGAGAGTCCTGGTAGTGGCGGGGACCCTTGTGGTGACGCGGCCGCTCCCCGGCGTCCCCGGCGTCCCCCAGGCCCGGCCGCGCTGCCTCCGAGGACCTTCCCGGGCTCGGGCTGGGGCGGGGTCTTGCGAGGCTGGTCCCGGGAGCGGGGTCTCGGGTGCGCCGGGGACCCGGCGGGCGGTGCGCATCCTTTGTGCCCCACTTCCCCTCCTCCCAGCCCAGGCGTGGGGGCGGGGGACCGCATGGATGCGGTTCCTCTTTCTCTCCCCGATGTCTGGGCGGCGCCTTTCCCATTCACTGAGCAGGTCTCCCGGTTTCCCACCCCCCACCGCCAGTCATCTTCCCCGCAGCCTCCCTGACAGATTCCTAAGGAACCTCCCCGGGAAAGACGTAGGCTCCCCAGAAAACCTGGGCTTAGTGGTGCAGAATCGAAACCTCCTTGCTCACGTTTTTCTTAACAAAAGGCTCCTCTTTCTTCATTCCCATGAGCAAGTCTCTGGCTTTTAGGAAGTGGTGGTGGGGGGGGACATTTGTCTCCTTGGCCTTTTCATTGATTGTCTTCCACATGCCATCTCCATTTTTCTTAATTTTTTTTTTTTGTTTGTGTGTGTGTTGAAAAGGGTAGGTATTACTTTTCAAATAAAGCCTGTGAATGTTAGCTGACTGGTTCAATTTGTGACATATGCTGTTTCTTTTTTGAATACAGGCACGCGTCCGTTGAAATTCCTATAAGTTGAAAAAAAACATATTCTGTCTGATCTGATACTGCAAACAAAGCGGTGGTGGGAGGCAGTATCAAGTCATTCCAGAAGATTCTGCATTTGTCATATTGCAGAGAGCCTAGACTGGGTGGAGGCTGGGAGGAGTTATTTTAAAGGGGAAAAAGTCTTTTTTTCCTTTTTAAATTTGTTGAATACATCTGAGGCTTTAAAAAATTTTATTTTAAGCAGCGTATTCTCATGCAGATGAAAAGAATACTGATCTCCAGTTGTCGCATTTTGTCTGGGATGCAGATTCCTGCCTGTGTTGCACCATTTTGTCACTTAACACTACATTTATCTGATGGGTCGGCAACCCGTTTGATATTATATTAGGGCGGAAATACTGAATATTATAAAATGGAAGATTAATCTAGTTAATGGTTTAGGTTTCCCACTATCTTAATATTAACTTCCTGCCTTATGTAACAAAGGTTTTAAAATGCATCTGTGGTGTGAAGTGGATGCAGGGAGTGTATGTACCTTGCATGTTAAATCATTTAAATGAAGCAGCAGAGGTATTGAAGATTAATTCTTAAATAATTTCACTACATCTTAAAAGATGATAGTGCTGTTTTCATAATTAAACCATCCATATTAATAATTTTTTTTAATTAAGAGGAAGAGAACAGGCTAAATTGAGAATACTGCTGTATTGATAAGTTGCTATTTTGTAACGTTTTCATGCTCATATGATACAAGGTGGACTTAAGTAGTTAATCAGTATTGGAAATATCTTTAGTTCATGTTTAGATTCTTCTAATTTTTCCATATTTCTAGTTCCACAGGAGAGCGAGTGACCTCGCACCTATATCCATAGCAACCCAGTGATGTCACACACAATGACACAGAGGCTGCAATGCACCTAAGGGCTGGTAGGGAGTTTGCAAATGGCATTTGTCCAAGGTAATGCAGAAATTACCTGATAAGCTAGGTGGAATTGTGTGCTTCATCTTCCACCAGATAAGAATTGGTCCAAAAAATAAGAATTTCATTTACCCTTAGACATGCAAATTAATGACCTTTAGATATGCCTTATTCACCATCCCATTTCTAATATTCTTAGAAAAGTTTTTAAGATACTTTTATATTTTTAAAAACTTATTTTGATAATGGGGCAATGATAGAATTGAAATAGAATTTTTAAAATAAGAATGTATTTATGGTCATAATACAGGCCTGGAATGTATATTTGGGTTATTGAGAATAATTTATTGACAGGTTTTAATAAAAAAACCTTTAAAAAATCATGGCTTCCTACTGTGTCATTTCCAATAATCGTTAAGGAACAAGAACCAATTATAAAATGTGTCTGGATTTGGGAAGGTTGTCTTTCGCTCCGTTTATCTGTCTTTGACACAGTATGGAAGAAATCATAGTTCGTGAAATTCAGTGTATTTTCTGTGAGTTTAAGGAAATAGGCTTATGCTCTGACCCTCGTTTTCCTCATCTGTATGATGCAGCAATTCCTACCCGAAAAACTGGAGAATGGAGTAGGTGCTCCAAAATGGTAACTACTAGTACCATTGTTCTTCCCATTTATAAGTGTTGGATGCTGGGGGTGTAACTGAGTGGCATAGTGTGTGCTTAGCATGTGTGACTCTCTGTTTGATCCTCAGCATCCCCCCCCCCCCCGAAAAGTCAAGCTCTTTTAGAAGGCTAAAATCCTGATATGGAGATTAAAATTTTTTGTATTTCCTGAAATTATCCTGGTAATTGCAGTGTTGAGATATCTGCAGAATGAGTTGTATATGGGTGATCAGACAGAAATAATATGTGATATAGCATTTTGAAGAGGAGAGTTAGGTCAGCTAAGACAAATACGTAGTCTTGCCCTGAAGACCACACTGAAGGAGAGAGTGAATGTAGATGTTAACTACTTTTTTAGATAATACAGTAGTTTCTTTTTATCCACATTTTTGCTTTCTGTGGTTTTAGTCAGCCACTGTCTTAAATATTACATAGAAAGTTCTAAGTATTACATAGAAAGTTCCAGAAATAAAAAAATAATTAATTAGTTTTAAATAACCTTTATTACAGTCTATTGTTAAAATTGTTTCATTATACTCTTACTGTGTCTAATTTACAGATTATCATAGGTATGGATGTAGGAGAATGGTAGATATGGTATTCTGGACTATTCAGGGCTTCAAGCATCCACTGGGGGGGGGTCTTGGAACATAATAACCCCTTGGGTAAGCGGGGGATCACTGAACTGCCTTGTCCTTTGGCTTTTAATAGCCTAATAAGTTAATATTTTAAGTAGGCTACTGGTCCTTGCCTCAGGGGGAGGAAAGGTTCTGGACTACTAATTTCCTTGAAGTTACTAGGTTAAGCAATCTAAGTGGGTAGTGGGGGCATGGCTGGCAAAAGGCTGTCATAGTCACGCATAAAAGCATATTTTCCTAGTGGACTTAACAACTTATACCATCTGAAATGCTGCATTTTTCCTGCTACCTCTTCCAGGAAGCTAGATCAATAGCCATTATCACTAATGGAGTAATGACACCATGGTAGGCCCTGTAGAGGTGGAGTTCTGCCAATCTGTGGTTTGAATTGTTCTCTTCTTTGAGGTAGAGAGAACACAGATAACAGTTTGCTTTTCATGTGTTATTATTCACAGTACTGAAATGAATATTAAGTGCATTTTCCAGTAATTTAAAAAATGTTCAGGTGTCTTTTGAATTGAGACAACAGATGTTGCTAAATGTACATCCTCACAACAGTACTCTGACAGCAGATGTTGGGTAGGATGTCATCTCTAGTACTTGGGGAAGGCTTATCAATTTATTAAGTGAAACTATTATTAATAAGAGTGGAGAAAACAATAGTATTTTCATTGAGGTGAAAGTCATATAGCACAACATAACAGTCATATAACAAAAATTGAAGTGTACAATTGAGTAGTATTTAGTACATTTCACAGTGTTGTGTAACCATCACCTCTGTCTAGTTCAAAAATGAGAAAGTGGTATTTTTTAAAAAGTGATGCTAGTCCGGCCTATCACTGTTGAATTTCAAAACATGATTACTGATTCAGGACCGTGTCAGTAAATGCCCACAGCAGCTCACAGCCAGTGATAATTGGTTATCCCTTTGTCTTTGTTTTTGAACATCTGAATTTTTCACCATAAAACAAAAAAAGGGACTTCTCATTAGCGAGGTTTGAACTATATTTCCGATTAAAGAGTCATAGAACTTAAAAGCCATAGGCTGTTCATCCAAATAAATAAGAACAATTTGCCTGAAATCTGAGCAAGCCATTAACTGTTTGGAGATTATGGAAATGTTGCTAGTGGTGTTGCAACTCATTTTTAGCCCTGAGGCTGACTGTATTGTAAGCGACTTCCCCACTGTGTGGTGGCAGTTCCCTAATGAACACACTGCAGCACTGAGTGCTGGGCTGCTCAGCCTGGCATTCCCACTGGATGGGATGCCATTGTAAGAAGCTAAAGGGGTTGTTTTGGTTAGCAGTGTGCTCCTGTGACTCTTGGACTGAATACTACTTCTTGCCCCCAATTCTAGCACCCTAGCCTCTGGGAGGGCATCTGACTTACTCTGTATTCCTATAAAATTCCATAGGATGTGGAAGAAAAGAAACAAGGACCACTTTCTAAGTTTAATAATAATAGGGAAAAGTCACTTTTTGTTGAGCTCTGTTCTTAGTGCTTTACGAGATATATCAGTCATAGGGCTGGCTGTCTTTGTCACCTTTCTAGGTAATAAAGGCTACCATACCAACTGGTTTATGGCCTTTCTTTCCTTTCATAATTTTTTTCTTCCCCAAATTCCATTTTAGGCATCAATTATCATTTTCTTTTGTTTTGGGCTGGGGATTGAAACCAGGGGTGTTCTACCATTGAGCCGCATCCCCAGTCCTTTTTCTGTATTTTGAGACAGGCCTCCCTTGTTACTCAGGCGTGGCTTTATCTTGCCATCCTCTGCCTCATCCCAGCTCAGCTGTCATTTTGATTAATTACAAAATCATGTCATTACAAAATCATTGCTTGGTTTTACTAAATTGATGAATTTGAAATTTAGTTACATGAAAAGTGATCAACACGGCTGGGGCTGGGGCTCAGCGGCGCTCA